TTTATACTTTATTGAGTTTTAATATTCTTATTGTGCTAAGTTTAGGTAAGATAATAAATTTAATAAAGTGGTTTTGAACCATAATAGTATAAATTCATTTTCATATGGTCTCAGCCTGCATCGATATTTAACATCTTTATAAGAAAATATTAAGAATCTCTCATTTTCTCAAATAAATTATTCTTTCTTTTAAAGGCCTAAAGCTAGCTATGTAGAATTTTTTGGAGTCTTTGCAAATATTTTAGATCATTTGCCTTAGGTTATTTGATCAGAGAAGTTTAAAACCCAAAATATTTGGAATAAGACGGAGTAATAATTAATTATTTTTTCTTAAAATAAATTCTATTTATCATCTTATTATTTATTTTTTATTTTTATACTATACATCTAATGATTTTACCATATGTAAGGAAATTTTTTTAATTTAAATTAGATTTTTTAAATCGCTATCAATCATAATGTACCCTATTTCTGGATATCCCCTCGCCTTAACTTATAACCTTGCCAATTACTACAGCAGGTCATGTGTGTAGTAGTAATCACATTTATATAAACATTTTATCTAAGAATTTAAATTTTTTGGTTGAATCCGTCTTAGTAATTAGATTAATAGTTAGTCTCTTTTGATTACTTTACTTCTTAAACCTCATCTTTGTAAATATTTTAATTAAGTTCAGTTAATGATATTAAAATCTAATCATAAGATAATAATTAAGTTATGGTTTTGATTAAATATTAAAGTTTTTAATATCTATAAATATAACTTTGAAAGCAGGTTCAATTAATTCGTTTTTAAGGAAATGGATACCTACTGATACACTACCATATAGATGACAACTATCAATGAGTATGAGATGATCTTACTTCTAACCAGAAAGTATCGGGCATTAATAATATCCGACACTTAGCAATTAATAAAAGGAAGATTTTATTTAACCTGATCAAAAATAAACAAAAGTCGAAATCAAGTTTACAAAAGGAGAAGTATATGGCATATTATTAGCCAATGGCAATTATGGTAAAAATGTGGTACGGAACATTCCTTTGAGAACTAGTTATTAACTCACTGTTAAAGAGATGGCGGAAATAGAACAAGCATTTTAATTTAATAATATAAAATTTTAAGATAGGTAAGAAGAAGCCACGTAATTCAGAAGAGTATTAATTTAGTGAAATGAAATGTTAGCCATAATATCTAGTGAATATGACATAAGTCGATTTTATGATAAATTAACTCAAGTAACAAAAGATTAAGTGTAATATCAAAAACTATTAAATGATGGAGCAGTAAATAAGAAGGAATAGATATTAAAAGTCCACTATTATGGTTATGAAGAAATTTATAAAGACAGCATGGAAACTGAGAAAAATGATGTAAGATATGAGCATAGGAGAAATTATTAACTTAATCATCTTTAAAATATAACATCCTGAATTATTAATATATGGCATGCCAATTTGGAGTAGTAGATAAGGATTATTAATTAGTTAAGATGAATAGAAAATGTGGCAATAAATTTTTCTTGTAAAAAGTCTCTAGGAAGTGATTATTTCTTTTTTGTGTATTATTGAGAACCTCAAAATTAATATAATTAAAAGTAATAATTTCAAGTTCAACTAGTTCATAGTTCTATAATTTCTCATCTCAATTATTTTTTTCATTAGAAAAATTTCATTATTTAAATAGTACCATAAAGACACTAACTGCTTTAATTAAACTTTTCTAACTATTCCCCTTATTTTTCTAGCTGCATTTGATAGAAAGAGAATTTCCAATCATACTATTGTACTAAATTTTTAAGCCCTAAATTTAGAAGTTAAATTTTTTTCTACTTCCTTTTATTAATTTTAATGGCTGAGTTAGGTACCCTTAAATTCTATTTAGAGCAGAAAAGCATTAGAGACATATTTCTCTCTATAGTTGAACTTTAAAACTAAGTTAAAATAAAGAGTTTATTAAATTAATCCAATATTTTATCAAATACACCTTCCTTCAATTAAAATATAAA